TTACCTGGTTCGGGAGGAGTTCAACAGGGTGGTCTATAGTGGCGGAGAAATCAACTATCTCGCTGATCTCAGGCACCACATCGCGGTCGCGTGCCAGAATCTCTCGATGGCGCTCGTCCAGAAGGCTGTGGCGGAGTGTCATGATAGTATTTAATATGCTCTTTAATATGGTGGTAAAAATGTCCGATCAGAATTTATAAAGTGTAACTTATAGCGCCTCGAAAGTCAATGAAGAAAAGTGACTTTTTTTATTGCCCCCCTTGTAGGTTCACTCAAAAGCACCTCCTGTCACCAAAAATGGATGGAGGGCTGTCAGCATAGCACGCCATCGCTGTAAATCAGGGGGCGGGAGAGGGGTCGTGTTTCCACTTCTTTTAAAAGTCTGTCAGAAACGATAGGGAAGGGAGAGTATGGTTGTCTCGAAAGGACAAATTCAAAACCATAAACCTTATTAAGGCGTATGACAGAGACGTCAGGGCATAATCAAGAGATCCACCTGAAAACCCTATCAACTCAAAGGAAGTAATCGGAATAGCTACAATGCCGAGGTGTTACGCAGTCAGACGCTTTTCCTATGAGTTTTCGACGTGTTTTGGGTGCTGATGGTGGACGCTATACTAAGTGAGTTACCAAAAAAATTATATCCAAATTCAGTCAAAGTATTCCAGAAGTTATAGACTGACCTAATTATTGCAGTCAAACCACTACACCTCCCATTAAGTAAACATTTACCATTTCGTACCTGTGCGAACAGTGTTCTGCGCAACTGCAGATCGAGACGACGAGTGGTGACACATGAATTTTTCTTGACGGCAGCTGTGATTCGCCACGCGCAAAATATGATTATAGCCATTGTTGTGATCATCAGCGCGATAACTGTGACTGTAGCAGCAAATAACATACAACTTTGAAGCTTCTCGTAAGGGCTGCTATATTTCTGAAACAATTGAAACTAGTAGAGAGACCGCTTTGTGGCAAACAATTGTGTCAAATAAGAATTTGCACCTGCCCTCTAGGAACTTCACAAAAATACATTGCACTCCAGGACTATATATCAGCTCCAGGTCACTGACGGCGCACATAAGTACTCTTCATATTCTGCTAATGGGCAAGACTGGCAGTGGAGCGGTATATCCTACGTGCAGTCACCACGCTGAAATGAAGTATGCGGCCACGCCTACCCCAACTCCGGGATATGAAGTGTACTGTCTTGTTTGCTGCAGATGATAGTCTGGCACGGCGCCGAACACCTCTTTCACCAATTGTTGGGCGAGCAAGCGAGGAGACTGGTAATATCGTCGGTATCAGTCGTTTTCCACCGAGAGTTTTCTCTTACCTGCTTCAATAACAGCAGGCCCGACCACGGTTAGCGTTCATTTCTAACTTCATGCTACTTGAGAACGAGCTGGCGGTGCGCTAAATCCAGCCTCACTGACACCATTCAACATCCGCAGCCAACAGCACCGTTCATGGAAGCATTATCCCTACAAAACGAGAAGTCCTATAAAAGGGTACGGGATGGTGCCGCCTCATTAGGCGGCCTTTTTGCGCTACAGTCAACGCCCCTGAGCCCCTCGTTTACATGAAAGAGATTATATCTTGAGCAGATGCGGGTCTGCTGCATTTGTTTCCCGAGTTCATTATCTAGTTTCAGTAGTTCTGAAATCGAACTAGGAGCGTCGCGTGAAAGCCTTACGCAACTCCCTAACACTTGCTCTCCTCCTACTTTCCACTCTCTACGGTTAGAATCCTATCTCCCTGACGGAATGCGTTTGAGGACACACGGCATCTGTGATAGCAGAGTAAATCCTAATGAACTAAGTTGATTCAGATTCAGCCGCCGAATCGGTGACAGGAGATGGCGCAGAGATCGATCGACTGGATGAGCGGGAACGTTTGAATGCTTTTGGGCGCGAAGGTGCGCGGTATATAAGGGGGACTCTCGCTCTCTGCGCTTGGATCTGCTTTTGCTTCCTGTTCGTCTTTCTGGGTTAAACCTCTGCTCCTCGATTTTTTTTGTGTGTGCTAGTGAGTAGTAAATTTTTTTGTGTCGTTTCTTCTGTTGTGCTTAATAAAGAAGTTTTGTGTTCACCTGACTGTGTACGGAGACGGTCAAACCGGTATACTACCTAAGTAACTCATTCCCAGCTAACTAAGCACGATCAAGACATAATCCCAAAGGATACTATTGGGGCTATCGCGGGTTTCTTGTTTGAAGAGGACGTCGAACTTACGTCATTGTTAGTTCCTATGGGAATGTTGTCGAGCATGGAAGTCATTCTGAAAAGGACATCTCCAGAGATCCGCTTGGATTTTAGGATTTGGCTTCCACTACACTGCTCGCTTCACTTCCACTGACCAGGTATAACATGGGAGTACTGTAAACATGGAGTTGTTCTCTGAATATCCCTGTTTCAGTAGCACTTCGTGCTTCTCGGCAGAAGATGCAGAGCGCTTTTTTCTCAGAAGCACGAATTAGTTCGATAAATAAGCAAAGTGGAAGAATCCGACGACACCCCAACCACTAGGCCTAGAAGTTCAGAATTTCTTCTTCTCCTCCGCTGAAAAAAATTTTGCCAGTAGAGTTTGCCCCGCCCGATTATCACCGCTTCCACATTCTCAAAAACACAATAAACGCTCAGCGATAATGAAATGGTTCTTACGAGGGAATTCACAGTAAATTACTGTTCAGGTACCAACAATAAGTTATGTTTCCGCGTTTGCGACCATGCCCGCCGATTATCTTCAACTGATTGTCTATGACGTATCCGGAGGAACGTTTTCAAGGAGGAAAGTTGGCTCTGGCACCAATATCGCGCCAAATGGTGCTGGCCCTACGAGTCACATTTGTAGTCAAATCACAAGACAGCCCTCACAGCTAAAGTCTAGAGGGAAGAAGGCTGCTGGGAGATTGTATATGTTGAATAGTGTCCAGCATTCAAAAAAATTTTGTGATATCTTCTCAACATTCCATCAGTAACGATGAAACGAAGTCGTAGAAGCAACGCTCTCCTCATATAGTGACTTTGTGGAACTTATGCGAAGTTGAGATGGCCTTCTTCTTCTTCCTAGCGTTAGTCCCGCGCCGTCGCAGGGTCCGCCATTAACACTTGTTCATGATTGTTGTGACGGGTTCCTCCATCAGCCGGCCTGTCAACCTGGGCCTGACGCTGGTATCGTCCCCATTTTTGCAATTTTTGCAAGGCAGGTTTGTGCAGGGACTGAACTCGTGGCTCAGGGTGTGAACGTGAGTCTACACTCTTGACCATTCGGCTATCCCTGCCTTGCGAAGTTAAGATGGCCGTGGTCCTATAAACACAACACATTCAGTTGCGCCATTTCCCTTGGTTTCATGAGCCCCTCTCAATAAGTCGGGTATGCGAAGACAACTTATGAGCAGATTCGCGTTTAAAACGAAGAGTGCGTCCTACGGCGCTGCAAGCAAAGGCGCAAGAAATAACCGTCAGGTGCCAACAGTTCTCGCCCTCCGTACCTGGAAATGAACAAGTTACGCGTTTCTTTATCAGGCAAATTTGGATCTTTACTGCAATTCCAAGGCGTGCTGCAGTTTGCGTTGACCTACAGGGAATATTTCGTGCTCATGGTCCTGTTCACCGTAAGCAATCATCCAACTTGCTGCGGGTTAACAATGTGAGCGGCACCATTTCCAGAAAAATAAAGTGGGACAGTTCGTTGCGGATGTGTCTACGAATAGTCTCTGGAGCTGCTTTACTCGACGCTGCTAGAACTTCCAAAATACGTGCCTGTAACGTTGCCACAAGGAATGTGTAATTCCCTTCCACGTTTATGTCATAGGCAATACCCGTGAACTCGTCCAAGTCGGACTGCGTAGGCCATGCAGCAAAGCAAATCATTGCACAGATTGACGTCGAAAAAGCGAATGGTAGCGTAGCTAGATAGAATGACCGGCGTTGATGATATTGCAGATAATTTGTCCTGAATTTTAGAGATATTGTGCCGTTCAGCAAACCCGATAGCACTGGTGATGTTAGTCGAATAATTGTTGGGCCAAGTTAGGCTGTATTCGTACTTGCCGTCAGCGCGTGCAGCAGCATTCGACGCAGAACCTGCGACAAAAAGGTATCGGTTTCGATCGAGCGCACGCCGACGTATGCCAGCGTGAGCCAGTGTGCGACAGCATCCCCAGGAGTAAATAGTATGGGGCATCAGGAGTGCGACCGACTGCTGAATTAGACGTCATGAAAATCTGGCGTACACAACACGTGCAACTGCATATACCGTACATCAACTTTGCAAAATTCCGCTCTTTAGCGCATGTGTGGTGGTGCTGTACACCACACTTTCACGACACCCAATGCAGCTCTCTGCAACCTATCTAGTTTCCATACTCTGCACTTCTGACTTTTGAGTGCTGTCGTAGGCTCAAGACGCACTCATCGGGAAAAAGCCAGCAAGTTTATTGTATACCCTGTATTGTAGTTTATTGTACTGCTACAGCATTGGGTGCCACCACATGGAATCGAAGGGCATTGGAGAAACTCTCGCCTACTTGGAATGGAAGGGGGCTGAGTACCTAAAGAAGATGGAATATCCAAGTAGGTCACCTGACCTGAATCCCCTCAATTACCCGGTTCGGGCGGAGTTCAATAGGGTGGTCTACGGTGGCGGAGAAATCGACTATCTCGCTGATCTCAGGCACCACATCGCGGTCGCGTGCCAGAATCTCTCGATGGCGCTCGTCCAGAAGGCTGTGGCGGAGTGTCATGATAGTATTTAATATGCTCTTTAATATGGTGGTAAAAATGTCCGATCAGAATTTATAAAGTGTAACTTATAGCGCCTCGAAAGTCAATGAAGCAAAGTGACTTTTTTTGCCCCCCCCCTGTATATACTTAGCTAGGGGGAGGGGTGCAGAAGGATCGCACCATCAATTTGTTGGCATCAGCGCTACGCCACCATTGTGCAAGGACAAAAAATTTGCTGGCTTTCTCCCGATCAGTGCTGAGCTGGGACAGGATGGAAAGGGTAACCCTTTTCACTAACAGAGAATCATTGTTTAGAAGATACCAGCTCGTCAGCTTCTTTGATGCGGGTACGGCCTAAAGTTATCACCACATGCTTCTACGCAATCACTGCGGGCAGATATAGGCCGAAGGAGTGTGGCCGCTTTCATCACCATCAGGGGCCTGCGATAACTGGTAACTGGCCTGTGATTAGGAGCGTTCGTCATAGCACGATCCTCAGACGCGCTGCGATTCGCGCAACGTGCGCGCCGCCGGTGAAATTTTTCGTCACTCTGCCACCAGCTTCGGCTAAAATTGTGGTGGCACGAAAATAATGGATAAATCTGGTACGCTGGCTACGACAACCGCGAATTTGGGAGCCGATGTGGCTTCTAATTACAAGCACACTTATGTGAACAGACTGGACTTGCATATTTGCAAATATCGAAATATAAATAAACTTGGCGCTATAACGATAGAATTACAGAGTAGGAAAACAAAAAACACCAGCAATAATCGTGCACACAATGTTGACACCACTGGACCGCCATTAACTATGAGCAACGAATGACTTTCTGTTGAATAGGCAGGAAATGTTGCAACAAACATATTTTTACAAAATATCTAAGACAGCCGGTAGTAAGTTATCAGATATTAGCATGAACTTATAGAAATGGAGATATTTGTGCGAATATATGTCGAAGGTGAAGGTCTGCACCTGCGAGTAAGTCTCCGCTTATTCTCACTTCACGAACGAAACACAAGGAAAGGAGGAGTGTAGAGCAGCGATAGATTACGCCATGTATGTCCACTAATCGAAAAAAAAACACGCAGACACGCAACGTGCCGCACGAGAATACGGCGAATGGGCAGTCTATCTGCATACTCTCGTGTTTGGTAAGGGCGCCGTTGTTCCCTTCTTTGACTGAGCACTGGAAAATTTTGCTGCACGCTATAGGGGGTGAGCCCCGCGGACATCTCGGGCATTCCGCTTGACGAAAGCAGGGATACAGTTATGGACCGTCGATTTCGAACACGTCGGGCATCGGGCAAGGACAGGGTATGTCTGAAGATCGCCTTCGCGTTGTCCTTTCATATTTTGTTAGTCTTAATTCGATGGACACAGAATCTTTCTATTCCCATCTACAAAAACTTCACAAAGCAACGACTGCAATTACCAGGTGCGCAGGATCGCTTCAAGCCATGTGGTCACCAACCGCCATGGCTACAAGGTATTACGCTGGTCAGATGATCTCATGAGTCAGATGTGCATGAGTAAGAGACCTTGGGTTCGCACTGTGTCTGTGATATTCTTCCGCTCTGGCTCCAGCTCGTATACAGTTAGACAAGTCAAATCCTCTCCCCTTGGCTGTTGCATATTGATTGTAGTTTCACACGGTTACGCAACACATTGATTTGGTAGCCTGGTAGAGCTGCAGGGACTTTAGAAAATGGTCGTCATTTCCCTTTTTTAACAATTGGATTGGAAAGCGATTCGTTACCTTACAACAGCGAAAAGAAAAGAATTCAGTGGTCCTAGGCCGGCGCCGACGAAGCCACTGAAATTCTGTTTCGTTCGCTCTAGGGCGTCGGACCAACTGCCAGCATGTCAGTGCATTCGGCGAAAAGATTAGAGTCTATATCCAATGAGACATTACTTGAGGTTTTTTGCTCTCTTGAGTCTACGGCTTTGAAGAAAACCTGAGGGCAGGACGCCCTTGGTTGAGCATGCCCGAGTGCTAACTCCAACGTACGTCATGAATATTGTCTGGAAATTTAGGATCTGACTGCGGGTGGAATAGCATCGTATCGACACCGATTTTGCTCGGCATCAGAGAACACTCAGGAAATGATCACAACGCCATGGCGTGCCCTGCCTCTGAGACCTCGTAGGGTTGTTGCTCTGATGGACCAAAACCATCAAAGCAACACTCCTTGAGGTCTCAGGGGCTGAGGCCATCTCGCTGAACAAATTCCCAAATATAAGCAGTATAGAATGGGAGCAGCTAGCCTCCGGAGGGCTCAGGTCACCATCAACCCGCAAGCGGTATATCACACCGTGAAAATGGCGAATATGTCTCATGAAGTTTCTGCAATCCTTTAATATCGTTTTGCTCAACTAGATTTTTGAATCACTGCATTTCTTTTGGGCTATTTGACCGAACGATATTCTGAGTGCCTAACCCAAAAGTGTAAAATGTTCAGCGGCACCGTCGAAATGAGGAACTTTTAGAACAATCAATGAGCTCCGTAAAGGTTCCTCATTCTTATTAGAAGTACCTTGACATCGTTCTAATGTTCTCGGGAAGCCGCAAGAGCCCAGTGTGGTAGGATGAACTGGACGGGAGGTTCCCGGCGATTTCACAGGGGGGACTTAGCAGGTCTATGAGATTGCTCTGTGAAGTAGCGATTTTGTTTCGGGATGAAGCCATTGAGATCCGACTGATATTCTATTTCTGACGCCATTTGTACGCCGTGCAAACAAATTGGGAGCACATCATCTGGATTTTGAAAAAAAATCGTTTTATGTGGTTGAACTCACTGGACTGCACACCACATCTACAGCACTGAAAACTAAGTCGAATGCCGCATAGGCAGTCATCATGTGCTTGTAGGAGCCGTAAATATGTGTTGCCTTCTTTCTGATCACGAAAATGAGGAATGTATTCAATATAATAGCCAAAGTGCCGAAGATGTAGGAGTTGGTTGTCGATAAGCCAGTTTGTGCAATAGACATTCACTGCTTTGTTGCGATGATACCAGCAATAATCTGTAAGTGAATAACATAAGAAATGAGGCTGTATGAAAGTAAGTACACTCTTTATTCATTCCGCGAAGTACACCCTATATCCACTGGATGGGCGTGGTTGCCTACTTATAAGGCAATCAAGAGATTTTTCACTTCCTTCTAAGACAACGATCATATTGTACCGTGCTGAGCAAAGACATAACTACCATTGCCTCGAAACGGAATATCTCATCACGGAGCGCAGGTGCCGCTACGTTCAAGTATTTCGGGTAGAAGGAAGCGTATATTTGGTACATGGTGCGCGGTGTACTGGTCACGGAATATTCGATGACCGCGCAGCACTAACGAGGTGAAAGCGCCGGTTTGAGCGTGACGGTATAAACCAGTAATCATGAGGGAGAAACTGTGCCACGGACGACACGCCACTAACAACCACAATACAAGCGATATAGCTCGATTATCAGGCTTTCAGTAGTCGTAACACCTTTCGTGCAAATTTTCCTATCAGTGGTGAGGCGGAACTGATGTAGTGACAGGCACGCTTGCCACCGTACGAGAATCGAATTCCGGATCGGCTTCCCGCCCAGGCCAACCAAGCCTTCTAACTCCCGGGGACGGTGAATTGGTACCAGATTCTGAGGAGGATATGAACACTGACTTGTACATCGGCTGGCCCCGCAAGTCATTGCACTGGCCACATCGCATTCAATAAGCCACTACGATCCTGATTGGAAGGAGAACGCGTTGTGCTCCCGAAAAAGGATTAATTAACAGCGAAGGCTTTTTCCTTATAGGTGGTAGCATCATAAAGGAGTGCTGAGTTTATTGATTTTCAGAAGGTTTTGCTACGAAGTGAACAGTGGCAAATAACTCCATCGCTGAACATATGACTATCTTTCACTAACAAGACTATTAAAGGCAGCGTCCGCGATCAACCAAGGTGAAAAAACCTGTACTGTACAAGATCGCGGAGTCCGCAACCACAGAGGATATCCCACTCCTGCGACTCGAAATCGATTGATAGACGAAGGCGGAGTCAACAATGATAAGCTGACCCCGCCTGTCCTGTTAATCCCGCCTCGATTGGTTTGCCGTTATCAATCCTCGCTGGCATTGATAACCGCTAAATTTCTAGCGTTCGTTTCGTACACTGATAGAGAGATTAACTCATAGACAGATCGATTATCAATGCCAGCGAGGATTAATTAGATTAGATAAGATAACCTAGGTAGTGGCCTCATGAGAATTAGCCGCAACGAGGCGGCGACGTGTTTTGGAGAACTCACCCAAAATCTGCGAAACTCGTCCAGATGCGTCCGATCGAACAGGGTCTTATTCTATGTTCTTGCGGCGCTTTTTGTTACTTTTTTGATTAATGCTTTACTTGCCACATGTTCTAACAATTCTGAGCCCTACAACCTGCCAAAGTCCATCGCGGGCGCTGTCTTGAGCACCATATGAAGTTAGTTCCCGCACCTCCAACTTCTGCATGCACTCTATGCGGGAGGACGTGCAAAGTGGTACTTGTCATGGGCGGGGATATGAGAAGGTGTACGGAATTTCAGCTCCGGGAAAAGAGACGTATGCAGCGATATGACGCCTAAGCGGTTAGTTCGACAGCTTGCTTTGGATTCATTTAGAGCTGCGCAATGCGCTTCAGACTGCTGAAAAACAAAATTATAAGTTAGGGACAAGATATATGATTTAGCCCTTTCCCACGAAGAAATGAGCGAAATGGCAAAATATTTGCTATCAGAGTGCTGTGCGTCAGAATTACACATTTACCCGATTAAGGAGATGAAATATTGCTCTATTTTTGTGAATCACCTGGAAAATTAGAATTTCTATATCTAAACACATATTCATGGTGGTGAAATAATTTCCTGAGATTAGCTCGAATCTATGGCTTTTGCAACAACCTCGTCAAAAAGCATCTGCCTGAAGAGTGATTCCATGAACTTGATCCATGAAAAGCGAGACGATGCTCCCTAAAATAACCCCATCACCGAGGTGGTACTTGCCATTACAGATTCGTTCACTGCGGATGAAGGGCGTGCCAAGCGGGACGGATTTAGCGCGGCGCTAAAACCGTTTCCCACGACTTGTTGAAGCGAGCAAACTACAAGTCTGTATCAATAGTGGCTCGTATAAGTTTTTTCCACCAGTTCTTTTCGCTGTGGCAGTCTAAAGATTTTGGTGGAGAACGGGAACTATGCGCCCATTTCGCCTGAGCACTTCGTCCTTCATCCTCAGAGAGCATGACTGTGACGTCCCCATGTGGATCTCTTCAAACTTCTTTTCTTTTTCACTTTTCTTTTAAACTTTTCTTCTAGCAGCCCGCCTCTCCTACCTGTTTCGCATAGCAAAAACAATTTCGCACTGAAATAGAGATCCAAGATTTTACCCAGATTAGTACATGCCTCGGACATACATCCGTGACAATAAAAGGGATTTCGAGGAAAGTTACGCAGAACTCGCTATAACCTTTCAAGTATTTTTGTGGCATCATGAGTAAGTTACTAAGGGGGGGGGGGGCGTCTGCCTAAGGCCATATGTGAGAATAAAAACCACAAGATCACTACGTAAATAAGTTCCAATGTGGCCATCTTCTATCACGGATAATCTACTTATTGATCAATCTCGAGAGAGCTGGACCCACCACACATTAGTATCCTGCTGGAAATACGATGTCTGAACTGAGCATTGAAAAAGTGGCACATATGCTTTTCGTTGACTTTGAATGCGCTCTGCCTCGGCCCTGAAGGTGAAGCCTTTGCGCGTAAATTAGTCTTGGGTTTTCCAAGAAGAGTTCCATGGGACCACCTCTAGTGTTCGAATGAACCATTTCGAAGACATTAATGGAACCAGACCGAGACGGCTAATAAGCTTGCGAACTTACAAAGACAAAGAAATGTTCGTCTGAACTGTAAGAGATGATAATCGTAGCAGTTTTTCAAGTTTACTCCTATTTGATGCATTCCGCATTTCTGAGTATGTGAATTTACCAGATCGAATCATTAAATTGAGAGTGAGACTGCTGTGTACCTCTTGAGTACGTAAATGTGCTTCTTTTTCGCAGGGCTGAATGCTTCTAAAGTACACATCCCAGCAATAGAGTGGGCGTGGCTGCGTACTTTACTCGAACGTGGGGTAGGATGCTATGTTCGTCGGATAGTTCTATGCGATACAAGTTCATACTGTCTTGTGCTGGACAAAGTAATGGTTGCAGCTGTCCTGAAACCGCAGTATCCCTCCAAAAACGCAGCTGCCGCCACGTTTGGATAAAGAACGCAGCCACGGACTTTTCCTCTCTGGGATATGGAGTGTATAAGGTCTAGGTCTCGGCAAACCGTAATAATCCTCGCGTGTTTGCTACTAATACGTCTTTGAAAACGTAAAATATGCGCAAGTGAGCCGTCTGGACCCTCCTTTATAGTATGTTCCGAAAAATCTAGTCTATCAGTGTAGTAGACTACAGTAGATGCTCACAACAGTACTGGGCAACTGAACGTGTAATCCATCAGGGGGGGGGAAAAAAAAGTCACTTTGCCTCATTGACTTTCGAAGCTATAAGTTACACTTTATTAAATTTTTATCGGACATTTTTACTACCATATTAAAGAGCACATTAAATACTATAATGATACTCCGCCACAGCCTTCTGGACGAGCGCCATCGAGAGATTCTGGCACGCGACCGCGATGTGGTACCTGAGATCAGCGAGGGTAGTCGATTTCTCCGCCACCGTAGACCACCCTCTTGAAGTCCGCCCGAACTAGGTAATTGAGTGGGTTCAGGTCAGGGGACATACTTCAATATTACATCTTCTTCAGGTACGAAACGCCCTTCCATTCGAAGTAGGCGGGAGTTTTTCCAAAACCCTTTGATTCCATGTGGTGGCACCCAAACCTGTAGCAGCACAAGGTCTCCAAGAAGGTACGGGCGACCACATGTAGGGAGGATATTCTTCTCGAGTTACTTGATGTAACCGCCAGCGCTCACCTTCAGTCGGGGTCTACAAAGAAAATATCGGTCTTCCCCTTTCCAGGTACCGGCCCCGGCCACACCAGCCACTCGCGCTCTCGCGAATACGGTGAAGATGATGTCCTAGACCGTAGCGACGTTGCCGTAGCTGCTCGATGTGGGAGGTCTGCAGATCAAGAGTACTGACCTCCAGGTAGCTATCTGTGGATGACTTCATTCAAGAAGTTTCGCAGCTGTTTGGAGGCGACGTGAATTCCAAAGGTGTTCTCCAGTCAGGTCGCGACTGGATGACTTCATAATTTTGGCGTACATGAAGGCGATTGGCGGCAGACTGCTCCAGCTTATAGAGGAAGATCTTGGGTATCTTCCACTCTGGTACTCATATCCACTTCCCCTGTCTGGGCTGCGAAAACTTCGTTGATATGTGGCTCGGCCGAAATGACTTTTTTTTGCCCCCCTGTAAGTGTACGTCTTGGATCAATCAAAATCTCCTAGTAAATGTTTCAGAAAAAAAACTGACTTTTTTTGCAGTAAAGTTCGGCAGAGGCCCGCATTACTAACTAGGAGGATAGTCCTCCTATACTCCTATTGATGTATCTTCGTAGAAGCAAGTGAATACATAGTAAATATTATAAATAAAATAAATAAATTAAATGAATAAATAAATAAATAAATAAACATTTGTATCATTTCCTCGTCAAACATTCGCAATGAAGGCCTCAGGGCCACTTGCAGTTTTACGATCTTTCACTCCTATTCTTTACCCGTATTTACGATATCTTAGTTTGTTTGAGCATATGCCTGCGTGAAAGAGAATATAAATTAGTTAAATATTATCCTGGTTTCAACAGAAAAACAAATGAAAACCAACTACAAAAAGAAGATGAGAATCAAGCATCGTAGTTATAATCGTTGCTCCTCTAGAGAACACGCCTTGGTCAACAAATAGTACCTTGCCCCCATGATAACTCATGATACAGTAGTGCCACTCTGGTCTACGGACA